CTATTCTCTGTTTGGCATGTATTGCAGCAGGAAGCGACTTGGGGGATGGGGGGACAGTTTGGCGTTATGAAGTTAGTTGCCATTTTCAGATACCAGCCCCAACAGTGGCTCAGAGGGCAGACAGGCAATTCTCATGACTTGGGAATTAGAGAGCACTCACGTCGTTACTTGCTTCCACCTTTTCAAAATCAAAATCAGAGCTGCAGGTGGTGATTTGCTTCAGGGGATAGGGCAGGGCACTTGGATCTCAGTGATCCTGTCAGACAGAAGCTGTGGGCCTAGGGATCTGGAGTAACGAGGCACTCAGTGCTGGCTGGGATGCAGTCCCGTTTGAACAGTGGTGTCAAACATGGCTCACAGGTTGGATCAGGCCCATGGAACCATTTCATCCAGTCTGCTGGTAGTCTGGCAGGCTGCCAGAAATTGGGGGGTGAGGCAGATGAGATGTTGCTGCTGCAGAATTTGGGATCTCTGGGCCCTGATGGATATGGCCATTGGTGACAGGGGGGCAAGCGAGGGCTGTACATACTTCTGCAGCTGACCCTGGACCCTTGCTGCTACTGCTGTCCAAACAGGCCATGCTGCTGCCCAAATGCAGAGAGGTCCCCACAATCAGGGTCCAACCCAGGCTGATTTTAACTCCATGCTTTAAAACATCTTTCCTGGAATGGCTTTGGGATTGAGGCTTCCCTGTGTTCCCTTTCCCCAACATCACTTCCCCATATCTAACCCCCTGAGTTACAGCTTGAGACATTTCCTCAGCCTGACAAAGTGTGTTAGTGCCCAAAAGCTTGCTAAGAAGAATTTTTCCGGTTGTTTGAGTTGGTCTAATAAAAGATTGGATTTACGCAGCTTGGATCTATGTAAAGAACCTTGTCAGCTTGATGCTAACACATCTTCTGTATAACACACCCTTACACTGGTCTTTCCCATGAGAGCCCCTGTGTCTCTCCCTCCAGGGATTAACAGACTGCAGGAGCTCCCCTCCCTCCAGGTGTTGGTGAGAGGATGTCCTGGCAACAGGAGGGATGTCCTGGAGCCCTGCTGTCAGCACTCAGGAGCTGGAGGTCCAGTGGGGTAACAATAACGCCTAGCACTTCCCAATGGTTTTCTTGCTCTAAGCATTCTCCACTTGATCTTTGCAACACTCTGTAAGGTCTCTAAGGAGCATTAGTTATCCCTATTTTATAGATGAGTCATGGGAAGGAGGAACAATTTGCTCACGCCTGAGCCAGAGCCCTGAAAGAATGCAGGGCTTCCAGTTGTCAGCCTCGTGGCTAAACCAGTAGCTCACACCTCTCTCTCCCTCCTAGAATAGGTATTGAGGCATAAGAAGCAGTGAGGTCCCATCCTGTGTCACGAGGCTTGGTGATTTTCCCACACCACGTGCTTTGCATGAGTCATCCTCTTGTCAGTGCCTGATTCCCTTTTTGCTTTGTCTTTTTCTAGGCAGAGTCCCTCCACCTATGAAGCGCCCAGCTGCTGCCTCTTCACCCCCTCTGCCAGCTCACAAGAAACCTGTGGCTATGGCTGACAGCACCCCAGCACCTCAGGTACTTAAATATATTGACTCAAAGCTCCATCTTCCCTCTCATCTCTATTAAACTGTTCACAAGAGAGTGTATGTCTTGAGGAGATGAGTTTGCTGGACTCTTTTCCTTTGCTGGGACACATTGCGGGGGGTATTCTGTGTGCTGTTTTTTTGTGTGGTGCTCTTTTGGAGAGAGGCCCAGCAGGGGAAACCTTTTCTTCCCAGGAGTCTGGGGACTGAAATGCTGCTCTTCAGGCATTTTGTTCAGTCAAAAAGGTGGATGCTGAGGGCAAGGAGGGTGAAATGGGCAGTGCTAGATGTTTCTTTGGGAATGCAAGGACTCAAGGCATTGCTTGTCAAAAGAGGAGGGTAACCCAGAGGCCTCTGCCAGCATGACAGCAGGGTACAACTGCAGAGCTGTGGGATGCCTTTTCTTTTCCCATCCCTCTAGCTCTACCTCAGGATTCAGCAGGTGTTGAGGACATCCCACCTGTGGGATAGAACAGTGTGTCAGATACAGCCCTATGATTAAGTAGAGGTTGGACATGACCCTTCACTTCCTCCTCCTCTCCTGTAGTGGGCACAGGGTATGAAATGGGGGTGAGGCTCCCTCTTGTGTCCTGGGTTTGGGCAGAGGATATGGTCCCTTCTCAGCAGAGTTGAGTGGTCTTGGGCTGGGACCTGCCTCTGAGGCAGAGGAAGTTGCTGGTTATCGTGTCCAACTCCTCTGCTTGCTGTTAGATGCTGATTTCTGTCCTTGGGATTTACTGGTGGGAATGTCTGGGGATCCAACTGGGACTGGTGCCCATGGGTTGAGTGCTGAGCTTCTGCTCAGTCCATGTCCCAAATAGCTTCTGATCTCATGACACTCACAGTCATTGTGGCCAGTGGCTTTGGGGGCAGCCCTGCCATTCTGATGTCTCTGTGTGTTCCACTTCAGGATGATGCGGCTGAAGGCCTAGCAGAGCGAGCCCAGCGCACCACACTCAGCAGCACCTGTGCTGCCTGCCAACAGCACGTCCACCTTGTCCAACGCTACATGGTGGAGGGCAGGCTGTACCACCGCCTGTGCTTCAGGTAAGCCAACCCTGGGCCATGCATGGATCCTGTCCTCTCTAGCACAGCAGGTGAGCTTCCACTTCCCATCTGACGGGGCTCTGTAGCCACTGGCAAATTCTGCAGCCAGGTTGGCATCATCTTCACACTCATGCAGATGAGGGAAGCAGAACCATCAGGGTGTTGGGGCAGACTGCTGCAGCTGGTCAGATATGCTGGCTCCCAAAGCAGCTAATGACTGGAGTTTTGAGTAGAAGTGGAAAAAACCCCTCTCTCATATACTCCCCCATGCAGCGTGGGGGAAGGGAGGCAGGATTACTTCCCAATCCCATCTTAGACCTAGAAGACCAAGGATAGATACCCTTGTAAATTTATCCCATACTGCTTTCCCTTATGGTTTGCTTATTCCTAACAGCTCCTCTACTGACTTCTCAGATCTGTCTGCCTTGGTAATACCCTGTGGCAGGGAGTTCTCTGGGTTAACCAGGGTAAACTCCCCCCCCCCTTTTTTTATTTTGGCCAAACTTACCATCTTTCTCTTTCCCCATACCACCCCCCCTTTTCTCTGTGCTGTTGCTCTGAATTTCAACATTTCTAATATTAAATGAGAGCACTGTACAAGAGCCTGAGGTGCCCTGACAGCTCATTGATTTTTACAGCGGTATCATGCAGCCAGCTGCCTTTAACACCAAACACTCAGACAGGAGGCATTTAGCTTAGCTTTCATGGGAGTGCCAGGTTGGTTCTTTTGAGCTCACATTGTCTATGCATATGTCTGCTCTTGCCAGTCTGAACAGGGCTAACTTTAATGTTAATTATATTTGTTATAGTAGCACCTTGAGGCAAACGTGCACCAAGAATCAGTCTTTGAGGAGACTTCAGGCCTATGTGGACTTGGCAAAAGATGCATGAAAGGTGGGGATTATTCTCCCTGTTTAGTGGGCTGTGAGCTGAGGTACAGACAGCTGAGGTGACTTGCCCAATCTGTGGCAGAGCTGATCAGTGAATCAAGCGCTAGTCTTGTGCAGAAACCCCAAGGTCGTTTTTCCTATAGAAAGCTCTGCTTCCTCTCATTGGTTCTCTCCCTCTCTTTCTCTCTCTTGCTGGCAGATGTAAGGAATGCTCCAGCACGCTGGTCCCTGGATCTTACCAACCTGGGTCAGAGCCAGGCACTTTTATATGCACCCAGCACCGTGGCAAACTGGGCCTGAGTGGGAGAGCAGATGGTAGGCCTAGCCCAGACCTACAGTACCCAGCCAAGAGGACTGAGGTTGGGACAGTGAGTGTCCGTGAAGATGTGCCCCCAGCAGAAGGAGAGGCAGGAAAGGAGGACAGTGCCCCAGTGCCTGTGGCAATTGAATTGGAGAGCCACCCCCGAGGAGAGGAGGAGGTGGGCAGAGGGGAGAAGACCAGTGCACCTGATGCAGTGGAGACAGCGACACCCCCTGCCCTGACAGACAACACAACGTCAAGATCTGAGTCCCCTTCTCAAACTCCAGCCAGGCCCCCTCTCCCCATCAAACCATCAGTGGCCAACCAGGACAAAACCAGCCCGCTGGACGGACAGCTCCGGGACCCTCGGCCCACCCCTGCACCGCGGAGGGCTACAGATGCAACAGCCCTTTCACCTCCAAACTCCCAGCCCATTCCGCGACCCAGATCCATCCAGAGTGAGGCCTCTGAACTGGGTCCCAGCCTAGTGAATGGTAAGAAGGAGCAGGGATGCTGTGTGGGGAGCTACCCATTCCACCAGCTGCTCTGGCCATATGCAGCTGGTTAAGGTTCAGAAAAGTCTCTTGTCTTGTCAAATGAGACCCAGAGAGATCCCCTCACCATACACCTGGAGTCAGGCTGACACCTTGGTGTCTCCATTTGAACTCAGGGTTCATTTACTGACCCACGATCCTTTCAGTGGGAAATAAGTGCAGGTAGGCCTCATACCCTGCTAGTCCCTTGTATTTCTCCAGACCCCAACAGGGGATGCCCAGGTAGTGGGAGGGAATGCACAGCGGGTGGTCACTCACCCACTACTGAGAGCATGATAGCTGTTCAAAACAATGTGAAGCAGGTGGAAGTGAGGAGTTATTTCTCCTGCTGGCAGCTGCTTGGGGGGGTTGGATTTTCAGCTAAGATGTAATGGCCCTGGTCTTAGAGATTACACCTCTACCTGCCGGAGGTTGAGAGGATCTCATGGGAGAGTGGGAGAAGCCAGGACTGTATTCAGAAGTAGGAGGCATGTTGATCTATTCACCTGTTTCCTAACATCTTTCCAGCATTTTAACTGCCTGGCACATCTCTTTCCTATTGCCTCTCTAGGTAGGGTGCCTGAACCTAGCCCCCCAGTCCCAAAACCAAGAGGGAGACCCACGTCCTCTGATCGGTATGTGTTTTTGCTTGCAAATTGCCACCCCCTCCCATCCCAACCGATCTGCATTCAAGGAGGATGAGGGGCCATGCGGGTGAGGCCTGGGATAAGGAGTCTTGAGACCCAAGTTCTATTCCAGGCTTAGATCCAGCAAGTCCCCTCCCGGTGCCTCCCTTTCCCAATTTGTCCAGCAGAACTTATAATACTCCTCTCTGCCTTATGCCTCTCCTTCATGAGGCAGAGAGGAGTATTACTTGCCTTAAGACTCTTTCTTAAGGCAAGTAAAGCACTTCGAGCTTCTCAATAGAAGGGGCTAGGGGAGGGCAAAGAGCATGTCTGTCTGGTGTCTACCCAGATGCCGCCATATTCTGAGCCTCTCCAGGCTGGCACCAGCAACTGCAGCAGTGGAAATGCTTAGTCTTTTGGTGCAACCTTGTAGCATGGGCAGGTTCCTGCTGGGCCCTCAGTGTGCTTCCCAGGGGCTGCTACATATTATTCCTATGTCTTGGAGAGAGAAACTGCAGTACAAAGAGTGAGGCACCTTGACCTCACTGAGTGAACAGATGTGGCATTGGGCCTCTGGGGCTTTTTCTTGGTCTGATTATGGGTTGATAAATGGTTTTGTGACGGACTTCCCGGAGCCACATTCCTGCATTCAGTGGGTAGATGAAACTAATTCCTGCAGTGGGGAGACTCCTGCATTTCTCCCACCTCAGCTGGTGGTGAGGATTGCAACAGCAGGCCCAGCCAGAAGGAGCCGTTTATACTGCTCGGGTCTAGTCTGCCCTACATAGTTTTGCCATC